GCCAAAACAGTACCCCATCAACACAACTAAAAAGCTCATGGTCGATATCCGGGGGGGGGGGGAAGGGCGAATAAAAGACACGTTGGCTGAGTCACATATCAGTAAACTTTTACGCAGCCCAGATAGAAGACGTGGATACGAGTACCAGGGCGGAAGATACCCAAGATGTTCCTCGATAAGCAGGAGCAGGCTCTCGCCCATCACCTTCATGTACACCAAAATATGAAGCCATCTCCAATCGCAGCCGGACTGGAGAAGGCCTATGGAATTCATGTCACCTCCAAACAGCTGCGAAACTTCTTGTATGGAGTCACCCATGGACAGCTACCTGGGGACCAGTACTCTTGATCTGGAAGACCTCCAACATCGAGCAGCTCCGACAACGTCGCTACGGTCCAGGATATCATCTCCACCGCAGTCGCCAAGGGCGTGTTGATGGTATGGACCGGAAGTTCCTGGAATGGGAAGACCGATATTTCTTCGTGGACCCCGGACTGAAGGTGAACGCTGACGGTTACATCGACCAACTCGAGGAGAATATCCTGCCTTCATGTCATCGCCCGTCTTGGAAACTTCGTACTGCTACAGGATTGGGTGCCACCACATGGAATCGAAGGGCGTTGGAAAACTCTCGCCTACTTGGAATGGAAAGGCGTTGAGAACCTGAAGAACTGAATATCCAAGTTTGTCACCTGGCTTAAACCCTCACCTCTATTACCGGGTCTGGATGGAGCTCAACAGGGTGGTCTACAGTGGCGGAGAAATCAACGACCTCGCTGAACTCAGGCACCGAATCACGGTCGCGTGGCAGAATCTCTCGATGGCGTTCGTCTAGAAGGCTGTGGCCGGAGTTTTGTGATCGTCTTCAATGCTTTGTCGAATTTAATGTGTGAAAGTGCTCACAATGATAAAGTGTAACTTATATCGCCTTGAGAGCGAGAAAGAAAAGTGTCCTTTTTGGCTCGTCCCCCCTGTAGGGACAGCACAAGCCTTGACCACGGCCAAAGAGAGTTCCACTTGAGGACAGTCCCCTGCTGGAGCAATTCGTAGGCGTCCTTCCTTGTACAATTAGTATGAAGCACCTCTAAGACTGCCCACTTTAGTGGATCCACAGTAAGCACAAGGCGCTGTGGCCCCCATAAGTGGCAATTTTCAGACCTCCCCAGTCCTACGACCACTAAAACTCAAAGGCTATTTCTTGACACGAGTTCAATTTTTACACCATGTTTTTCCTTTTTTCTTTACTGTTAGATAGTATTAGCATTGGATGATGACAAGAAACGATCATTCGGCGCTGTTTGTCGACGGGGCATTTTGTATTATCATTGCTTCCCTAGTTCCGGTTTACAAATCTCACTCTGGTAAAACTTGTGAACTCTTGTGAAGCTGAAGTAAGATCGTCTAGCCACTATCCTAACGTGTCAACTCGAGAAACGGCTGCCTAGATGGGTCGACACATCTATGGAAAGCAAAATGCCCCCCCCCTCGACAAACTGCGCCCGATCATTCAGCTAGAGGTGGCAGGACATTTCTTTGCTGGCGTAAACGACCAGGTCCGGCCAACTCGTACAATTACGCTGCCAGGAAATTGAAACTCACAGGGCTCTCCCTGATTCTTTTTTGCATTTCTTGTATTGGAGAGTACTTTACCGACTAGAAATTTGTGGAGGCCACTATCCACAATATGCACGCGGGGTTTGCTTTTAGAGTAGGCAATTGAATATCTTCTCAAATTTCTGTTTTTCCAACCGAAGCGGTGAAACACTCTAACCTACTTCTTTGCAGACGTCTGAACCTCCAGAGGAGACAACACAGAACGTTTTCCAACAAGTTGGTTGGGAGACGGACGACAAAGGGAACGTCTTCTGGGGCACCGATGACGCCAAAATTTTACTGATCTCTGTTGGCTCTTACTGGCCATTTCCCAAGGACTACCGTAAATAGGAAAATGGAATTCGATCGAGCTTTCTGACAGTATGTGATCGAATTAACAGGTGATTCAACAGAAATTTATACACGTGACTTGCACTGCCTGCAGCTTGTTGGGCTTCCTCGCTTCTTGTCAGCGAGTGGGAGAGACGTCACAGTTAGTTCTCTTTCTTTAGTACAACCTCAATGAATCCCAACAAGGAGCACTCCACAGATCAATCTCTAGTAGATCCATTGTTATCATGATCACTGCAAATATGTACCTCCAATGTCTTGACCAGTGATACCGGCTCTCCCCACATTTATTCTTGGCAGTGAAAACCTCAGAGGAGGCAGCACTGGAAGGACTACCGTTGGGAGTGGGGTTATAGCAATCCAAAAATAATGAAATCTTCTTAAAATGATTCGCCACCTCGGAACTTCTTCCAGCATTAAGGCTTAGCTGAACGTTTCGTACACTAGTTTTCGCTGCAGGCGCGGCGCCACCCGTTTTGCCGCCAGTTGTTGGCGAAAACGGTGCGCGCGCCTGCAAGTGAAAAACTCCAGCTCTGTTGCGCTTGCTCCAGAAATTTGTGGGAACGGACAGGCGCGCGCCACGGCAAAGCCCTCTGCGACGCCTGTGGCGAAAAACGATTCTGCCATGGTATTCCCAGTTTTACAGGGGGAGTCCTCCCAGTGCCCCCTCTTATTATCGCCTATTTTTCCGTTAATTTATTCGCTGATGACACATTCTACTATTACCAGTTGCTATGCTATCTTGTCTCTATGCTTAAACGCTTCTGTGCTTTAATTTAGTGTACTGTTTCATCAAATGCAACACTCTGCTCGAATAAAGTGTTCCTTTCGTATACTTCAGTGGACTGAAACAGTCGAATTACAAGCTTCAACGCTCCCAGCGGTAAGGTGGATAGCGACGTAGTGGAGTAATCTTCAAAGGCAAGTGGCACGACAAATCTACAAGGGCGTGTAGGGTGAATACGCCTAGCAAGGATCAGGAATTCGATACGCCCTCTGAGCAGGCGCTCGATGACTTTCCCAACGAAGGCACATATTCTGCCAAGCAACATCATGCCGACTCGGACGCCCATCGCATTGCCCACAAGTTGGCCGTGCAGTCGCATCAACGTTGGAACTCTATCGCTTCATTCATGAGGTGCAACTGATATGAAAGCGTTGCTACATAGATATATAGCGTAGTTCTCTACGGGACTGGTGGCGGAGTCAGTGCGGCGGCGTTTTAGCGGCGGTGGCAAACCCTCTCTCCACCAGTGGTCAAGCGAGACAACATGATTATGGCTGTACTATATCGATCATCTTACTCGATCATACTACTGTTTTCTACCACTTTTTGTCGCATGCGCGCTCAAACAAGCAGGCAGAGAACGGCCTTGACGCTGTGCACGCTCATACTGGCTGACACGCCCAACCGTCCGCAGCGAAGTAGAGTGTAAGTGTAGCCGTATCTACTGGAGTTGTTGGTACGATGCCAATGTGAAACTTGTACAAAGATTGCTCGTCCAGTGCCGTGCAGAGCAATGGATCTTTCCTCAGATTTCTGGCCGTTTAACTTCCGTTTTCGTCATTTTTCCAATATGTGGCACCGCTGCTACTGTTATGAACAAGCACCAAATTATCATGCCTTATACCGTTAACACATTCCGGACCACCTTAATGGCGAGTAGTGCCTAAATATTTTATCATTTTCATGCAGTAGTTGCAATGAGTAATTGCCTACCCTTCTTCCCAATCCCTTACGAGTTATGTGTTACTCCGCTAACCAAAAGGAAACGTGTTTCTCAATACAACATGAAAGAAAAGTCGAATTAATCAAATAAAACAAGGCACAGAGCAAATGTATGACACACCATGTGTGTCACGCGGTACGGAACGTGTTAAACAGGGCGCGTGCGCGTCGTACTTGGGGACCCACAAGCGAGGGTCCACACTTGGTCGCTGGTGGAAAAAAGATTCAGTGTGGCCTGAGAGATTTTTGATATTTGATTTTTCCAGTTTCACGCGCGACTCTCATGTAGTGGTGAGAATAGGTATCTGGTCCCGGCTTAAGTGAAGGGCGTTGAATGTGAATTAAGAGAGAAATTCTTCCCTGGGCGAGAGAATCTTTTTCCTGAATGTTGACATTTCGCTTATTTTCTCGTCAAAACTGGAAAATCTGTGGAAAAAAAAAGAAAAATTGTAAGACTCGGGAAAGCAGTAAAACGGTTAGGATGGGATATCAAAGGAGGACAGTCAACAGGGAAGTGGTACGGATTATACTTTCAGTCGTCGCATTTATGAGCTTCAATGTTGGATTTGTGAAAGCAAGTGCGGTGTTCAGCCGAAGTGAAACAGTGCGGAGAAAACCTTATTAACTTCATTGCATTTCATCACAGTTTCTGTAATACAAGTTATCAAGCAAAACAACGAATAAATAATGTCTCAATAAATAGAAGTCTAGAATCAGAATGAACGCCATATCGTTGGCTAGTTGCCAATACATGAAGCGATGACGACGAAGGCACACCGAGGTTACAATCCAGGCATCATAGGAAAAGCCACATCATATTACCACATACATAATATGCATAACAATGTATATCAAAGAAAATCACAATCAAACATTTCATTAACAAATTAACAAATGCAAAGGCTTCAGGGTGAAGAGGAGCGGATAGCGTCACCTCAGCAGTTTCTTTAAAACATATTGAGATGTTAATTAAGAGTTTTTGCACCGAATTATCTGCACACTATGCTATTGCACTGCAATATACGTCAGTACGTTAGATCAGATGAAATTGTTTGCATAGAAGAATGTTGAGGTTCAAAAGGCTACGAGTTGCCAGCCAATGCACAGCAATTTCGTACATCGGGAAAGAAATAGAAATTGAAAACAGTAGAATCCCAAGCAAAAAGTGAATCACATAGAAAGAGAGAGCAGAAATTGCGCAGCTTATGCAAACTTAAGTTACATTATTAGGAAAATCAATAACAATAAATAATATGCTTTCATTCTATAAGACAGAGAGATGATCAAACCCTGAAATGCTGCAGTTTCTCGGATGCCAGCCGAGATTCTACCACATCATTAGACGTAACAAGAAGTCTTCATAAGTCAAGTTGGCTGCATACTTCTTGCCGAAATCAATGATGGCCTGCTTTCTCTTCGTATGCGTGAATTGGTAACTGAAAGTCACGTTATAGAGTTCGGACAATACCTCACCGGAACCTCAGTCACATCAGTCTGTGGAGTCTATCCTCATCCACGATTCATTCACAAACGGAGGTCAGGTCCTCTCTTGTGCGTGTAGGATTCTCCAACGGCAGGGTGGGAAGGGATAGTGGGGAGGTGGGTCGTATTTGGGTGGCGTAGAATGGTATGATTTGGATTCCTCATTTTTTGGGGAAGGCGGGGGAAGAATACTTTTGCCGATGATCAGTTCCTTCTAGGATGCGACATGCGTTCCCCTGCAGAATCACAGTAGCATTCTGAAGGCGACGTGGTCCACGTAAGGACTTGCAGGGCCAGCTGATTTATAAATCACTGTTCCCATCCGCCCAGACGATCTGGCTCTAATTCACGGGCCGTGAAGTAAATGAAGGTTGGAGGTCGTTTTCCAACGCATTTTCGTTCTTTCCCTGATTGGTTGACAAGGGTGAGAGCCAACTGAGGATTTAACTCCCGAATAGATGTGGTATGCGGATCATTTGCCAGTTAACCATCTACGGAAAGGTCATATTACGGAGGGTTCTTTTCATCGCCCCGACTTGCTTGCTCCCCTAGTGCCTAGCCCTCCAAGTTGCTTCCCCATTTCTCACTACTGGTCGTTTCCCAATTGCGCGCTCTAAACCATCTTAAATTTTGGCGATTTTCTGAATAATATGGCAGAGGTAGAGCAAGTTTGTTTGAAAGGACAAACAGCGGCTTTCACACTCGAACTCGAACTCAACAACATTGTCAAAATCAGGATTAAAGTGAATCTGAGTGAATCTAGACAGTTTTAAAAAACGCCAATTCTCCGACGAGTCTATGTGAGCTTACTTTTCAATTTCTGCTACATTCCGCCTGACAATGTTCAAAATCGTCAATCGAACCAACGACGGGAGAGACGTCAACGAAACAACCATAGAATCGCACAGTGGTCCAGGTTCGCCAAACCTTTAATCGAAAACTGATTTTCGTCATGATTCAAGAGAATAAGCTATCAAAATGAATAAATGAAGTAACTAGAAATCTGATGAAATGATTCATACCCTACAGGGTTTAAAGGCAGATTTTCTTTCAAAGGAAAAATGGATTCAGTTTCATTTGGAAACGTATAATCTACCTGCTCCTGTAAAGGTGCACTCTGAGAAACCACCCGACACGTGAACAGTCAGAGGGGCCGGGACAAGGGTGCGGTGGAGGGCATGAGCCAAGATGTACCGAACACACCTGAACATTGCTGAGCCCCGCCCACTGTGGACGGAGCGTGCCTATGACCAAGAGTCATTTACTTCGAAAATTCCTGATTCGATTTCAAAAGAATCCGAAGAGCGGTAACAGCGAGAAACTACAGGAAGCGGGTAGGCACATGAAGGCCTTTCTCTCTCATGAAGATGTGAGGTCAGCCGGTGAAGCCTGTTGATCCGACAGCTGTGATTAATTACATGGTGAGACATTATGGAAGACAATTCTTGAAGTACATCAGAAGCAACAGAAGGTGTCGTACCGATGCGATGAGCCTCTTGTCCGTATGTGTACCAGTCCTGGTTCCACTTGATGAATAAACATCGCCAAATAAGCGGGCCGCTCGTTCGGAGCATTCGAGGCACGCTCACCGCCGTCATCACACGCACTCAGCAGCTCGTCTAAATAGCATAAATTTATACGTTCGATAAGCAGTTGCAAACAGGTCAGCAGATTTATAATTGAAACAAAATAAAGCCTGCGAGACAAAGTTTGTGAGATGAAAGGATTAGAGCGTTCATGATCAAGAAAGTTGTTCTCAGAAAAAGTTTATGCTGCGCTCATGCTTTGCGAGTCGGCGTTTTGGCAGAATCAGCGTTCTGAGGGAATTCGCGTTTCGAGCGTTTCAGGAGATTAGACTTCTAAGCGTCGGGAAAATTGTTTCAGGCGTCGACCGATATCTGCTACCCTTTCACAGGGTACGCCATCGCGTTGTGATCATTTTCCGCTAAATACGACCCTCCCTCTTAAAAAGGGTCCCGATACGACCCCCCTGTCCGCTGCTAATCTGGTAGCAGCGGACCAGATTAGCAGCGGACAAACAAACACCGAAAAAATGGAAGATCTGCGAAAATAAACGACAAATAAAAGAGGCGACGGTAAACAAGGATAAATGTGAGAAACGAAGAAAATAGCTATAATGAATCATAAATAAATAAAAAAAAGAATAAACCTATGAATGAACATAAGAAGACATGAAAAAGAAGGGAAAAACGAAAAATCCATGTGCTAACACTCGAATATTAATCTTTCGCGGCCATCAAAGGTGCAATTGGAGTTAGAGCGCGCTTCGTGCCGAGATATTGGAGCGAGCTATTTCACGACCCGGAGCCAGTTTCAAGCCAAACACTCGAAAAGTACCCCTCACTTGAACACCCATAACTTCTTTGAGAGTAGAGCTTTTGGAGAGGGGAAAGCAGGACTGTTGAGCACTAGGTTGGCACCTGAGTTTGAGCGTTTTCAAAAAAAATCCTTTTCAAGAAATTTTCTCCGTTGTGATCCGGTCGTGATCATCGAGGGTCATTTACAAGTCCTTACGCTTTGAACAGCCATAACAAGCTTCATACAGGGCCATTCGTAAAAAGAAAACAGTACCGGGATTTCGAAGCTTTCTCCTTCCAGCAAGACTTTGGTATGCTTCTAAAACACATGTTTTCGCCAAGGATATCAGGAAATAGTTCATTGGGCGCCAATTGGCATCACCTCTGCAATGCGCCATGCATAGGGCTCTCACGCAGAGGTATTGGGAAGGTGCAACTAGATAGGGCTTCCTCCGTGCAAGCAGATGTGCTCCTGCGATCAGAAAGGTCCGGAAGTGTATTTTCATCTGTTTATTAATTCATGACGTCGTTGTGGGGGTCATCGTATTTCCTGTCATCGCCCGTTCCCTTCTGCGCTGGCAGGTTGCTTCTGTCTTGTGTGTGTCTCTTCAGGGGTTCTTCACATGGATAAGTCTTTCATCATTGAAGCTGAACGACATCTGGGTATCGCTGCACCCTCACTTCAGAAAGGGCCCTGCGCTTACGACCCCCCTCCCTCGAGGTCAAATACGACCCCCCCCTGTTGTGATGATCACAACGATGGCGTGCCCTGCCTTTTCAGCTCAAACTCTGACTCACTCGGAACGCTGACATGCCAAAACACAGATTCTCCAAAAACGCCGGATCGACACCTCTACTCTCCTTTTCGCTCGAAACGCCTACTCTTCCAAAAGCGAATCGCTCAAAACGCTGACTCTCCAAGAACGCCGAAGCGTAAAGCATGAAATCAGCCTCAAGGAATTCAAGGCATTCCTAGAGACTCAGCACAACCTTTTTACGCGGAAGCATCTGTTGACTTTCAAAGAAAAACCATATAATAATAGTATAAAAGTGGTCGCTAAACCATAGCCGCATCGACGCTAATAACCTGGGAAGGGGCACTAGAAGGACTGCTTCTGCAAACTTGGATTAACGTCATCTGAATTGAATTACCATACTTGATTTGGCTCACTCACCCCGGAGCTGCATCAACTTCGAGGCTGAAGTTTTACGTAATTCCTACCAACTGAAAAGCGCATTTGATAAAATGTCCTGTCCAAAGTATTTGGTACCGACTGCTCGCGCATGCAGACAGGGAACATTTGGCTGTATTAGTAAGAACTGAGGAAATTCTTCTGTGGAAACTCTTCGCGAGGTTGATATACCAGTTTATTCGGCTTACGCACGTTTCGGCGAAACCGCCTTCATCAGAGCCTGAAAGGATCGAAACGATTTGTGACTATCCGACCAAATATCTACTGAAGTTTGACCCCAAATCAGGTCATAACCCAATCACGCGATGAAGCCACTTACTGTAACCCAGTCCGATCCTCGAGACCAATAGGAAGCTGGCTACTGAAGCGAATCGGACAGCTCTGCATTCAAAGCCCCTCGTGGAAGGCCAACCTTATTTAGGGCCTCTCAGACAGAGCAAGAACTGACTCTCACACTTCAACTGCCATAGCGGCGTCAGCTGTAGCAGCTCCCGTACGAAAGTATTGGGAGTAATTAATCTGGACACGAGCGTACTGTTCTATAACCCGAAACAGGGTATTCAGAAAAAAGGCGTGTTTTTCTCTAAGAGAGATTAGCTTTAACGAAAATTTCGAAGAAAAAACGAAGTGATAAAAGGACTTAGAAATTAAAGACAAGACGGCGGTCAGAACGTCTCATCTTGCAAAAACAGAGCCCACAAGACACCCACAAATGAGCTCTCTGTGGGAAGAAAGATCATTTGATTCCACTCAGGTTCGTTGGACCAGAGTTGATCCAAACAAGAGAAATTGGGATCATTTGAATGCATTCATGAACAACAAAAAAATTGAGACTGACAGCAATTATAGATCCGAAATAACGATGAAACAGCAAAAGTGAAACGAACAGAGAAAATATATACGGGAATGAAAAGAAAAACGGCATTTTCTGAATATGAACCTACCGACAGGGAAATGCAGCATATCTTCGGCACGCTCTAACCATACCAACATCACACGAAGTTCCGCACTCCGTCGCGATGGTGGAGCATTACCTGAACAGAAAAAATTTCGATGAGTACTCGCAAATTTTTATGCCCCGAAAACCCGAAAACATTGAACTCTACAATTGCTAGTTCTTCAAATTCTTGCGCCAAGATCAAATCAGAAACGAGATTTACGTTACGGTGACGCAATGTTGTAAAACAGCGTACATCAGTGCTGTGCGGAACCCATCAAAGAGGGGGGGGCATTCTGCCTTAAAGGCAGTTGGCACGATGGTTTCCTACTCGGCCTAAAATGCTAGTAGGGCGCTGTATAGTGGGGAAATGGCGAAAGAACGGAGTGAAACGGTCAAAATCCTGCGAAGAAAAAGCCTCCGTTCTCAGTGACTTGTAAATCGATTTCGGACGAGTTTCCCGTAGGCATCTTACCAATCACCGCTACCGAAGATACGGCTGCATATGTGTACCCATGTATGCATGCAGCATCACGGCC